ACTCATTTTCTTCTGGGTAATTAATATTGTAATAATGTTTTACTTTTCAAGTTAGAACAGGTACAGTTTTTTTTTCGTTTAAAACCTAAATATATACGCGTGATCTTATATACATGTCTACATATATATTATCAGAAGTAAAACTAAAGCACACTGAAATTAAACAATTCGATTCCGGTATCTACAGAATGTTGCAACAGCAAGGTCTTGGCCTCATATAAATTCGGGTACTTGTGTTGCACCTTGTGCCGAAAATGAGTACAGTTTGTAGTTGTATTAGCAACGGAAGGATTCTCAAGGGCCAGATGCCATCTTCATCATCCGACTTTGAAAGTTTGATGCAGTGCTCCGTCGATACAAATTTCTAGATGTATAAACTGTGTTACGGCCAATCGGCCTGTAAATTACGATACGATTTTATCCACAAGTTCTTTTTGACTTGGTAATTTTTTTTTTCTAGCTTGGTGCTTATTTCAAGTGAAGATCGAAAAGGTGAGTACTAAGTAGTATTTTCGCGGTGTCAAGTTGGAGAGGGATTCCACCCGGATTAGTATGTCAAATATAGCCATGCATTCTGCGAATCCATCCGCCTCTTATGGGAGCCTAATACGAACCATGGCGATTCTCTCTGCGGGTATGTTTGTTATATATCTTTATGTTGTAACACATCGTTATAAAACTTGCTGAGACATATGTATGTGGTTTGATGGCCGATTTTCCAAGGTGAACGTTTTTCATTTTTTTCTTCCTTTTTTTAAATGCTTGTGCCAATTGGCTAGTAAAAATAAACATTGATTTCGTAGCCACATGGAATTTTTAAATGACGCAAGCATTTTTTCCTTGAAATTCAGCATTACGCCTTCACGCAACTTTTTTTCCTTGGATATTTCTTGGTAGTAAAAATAATTTTCTATAAACCTGAAATATATAACTAATTTGGAACTTTCGTTAACAAATTAAACAGCCACTACATTAACTACCATACATATTCGATCACTGTTACAACAACAACGCCACTATTAAACACACTTATTAGAATGATTTACGAATTATTTTTTCTTTGCCTCGTTTTTTTTTTGTCAAAATTCAATTTTCTGCAATTTTCTTCTTATATGTATGTACATATGTATTAAATATTACTAATTTAACAGTTCCATATTTAAATATAAATTTTGTAAGGTGTTAATATTTTGGTATGGCGGTATTTCCAATCCTCAGTTCACATTAAAAATGTCTTTTTTTGTAATGTTGGCCACGTTTCGGTATTTTGTAGATATACTTCTAAACCTTAATATCAACAAGGTCTTCGTGCAACGATTCTATAGGACTCTCGTCCAGTAATGTGCAGTCTTTAGAGAGAAAAGGTTTAATTTCGATATCATTGCTTGTCACATGCTTATGCTGGTGGCACAAACGCAGATTCAGCGTCGTCTCATCGTAAATTGCAATGGCAGGGCATTTCTCTTTATAATAGTTGCTGCATTTCCAATACTGACGAGATCCACGCTTTTTGTTGCGAAAGAATCGAAAGCCATTGATGACCAACAATTTGCCACCATTCTTTTTCGAATCAATGAAATCGATTTGAAAACCTGAAAGTAGAAATTGGAAAGAGTTAGAGAAAATTCAGAAATACGTAAAAATATATAAAATGCAGGTAGATAGATATCGGCAGTATGAAGTTAATGCAAATGGAATCCCTTCAAACTGTTACGAAAGCAATAAATAAAAATAAAGTGAAAATTAATAAATCTCCGCCAGGCATTGAAATTACAAAAAAAAACTGTTACTATTTACAAATGCTACATGGAAAAGGTGTAAGGACTATTTTAATTAACACAACGGTACACATTCACTGAAATTCGTTTTTTTCGCTTTCGCACTAGCATATTTATAAATCAAAAACGTCTATTAAGTGCACAGTTTTTATTATAGTGTATGAAGGCTTATTTGCCAGGGTCTTTCAAATTGTAATATCTTAAAAAAAAAAATATTATTGCATTAATTGGCAAGGATTTGTAACCCAGCAACTACTACTAAACATATCTAAGCTTAAAATCTAAAAAGTTGACTTCATTTGCACTGAATATTCCACATTACGCGTGCCACATGTTTCCTTCTTTTCTCTATATTTATTCCTCCTTCACGATCGAATGGTTGTGTACGCCCTTTATGACGCAACACGTGGGCGCAGCAAAACTGGTAATTGCACGCGCCTTGCAATGACTATGCCACTTTGTGCACTTCCAGTACACCCTCATGCCATAAATGTTGTTTTTGATGAAACGATGACCGCCATAGGATAATAACTTATTTCCTCTTGAAGTTGTGCTATACTTGATGGCGCCCCAATCGTCCATGGTGCGATTTTCCAGAAAAGGGGGTTTACGCTTTGACAAGCCGGACTTAACTTTAACAAGCTTTTCATCAGTGCCCACACATTTTGAATCGTGCAAAGGATTTAACACTGGCAGAAAACTCTCATCGCTGCAGGGCATATCAAATTTAGTATTCGTTATAGTATATTGGAAACTTCGCATCGAGCCTGAAAAGAAAATAGTGGAAAAAGAGAGAGACAATGGCTATTACAGAACAGGCAAAACAAAAAAACATTAAAAAACATTTAAGGGCAAATACGTTTGGATTGACTATACCAATTACACAAGGATGTGTAACATTTAAAAAGCATATTAAGTGTATTATTTTATTGAAATAATTGTATATGTACATGTTCTTCGTTCACTCTCATGCAGATGTGTAGGTGCTCATAAAAAATTCGAATGGTATGAACCACTCCTAACTTCACTTAGACATCAGTTTTTTTATCAAGTGTTCGGTACGCCGAACTCCAGTCTCGTAACGTGGATATTTGCGGGTGTGATTGTGCTCGAAGGAACGGTGAAGTATACGCTCCGTGCCATGCTTGTCACGCGCTGTGACAACTCTCGCCCGACACCAGGTCACATCCTGCAAGCAAGCAAGAAACGCAAACTATCAAAGAAGCATTAACTAGAAGAAAATTTAATAAGTAATTGCCTTTTTCGAACAAATCCAATAGGTGCGCGTGCTCGATTTGCGATTCTTCACAAATTTCTGATTGCCACACATGAGCACAGTGCAACCGCGCTGGCCAGTGGTGAAAGTAGCGATTTCTGCAAAAAATTTAGTAATGTTAAAGTCTGATCAGTAAACGCTTGTCGCCGCCAAATGTACAAATGCAAATGAGGTGCTCAATGTAAATCACACCCTGCGGCAAATTGAAAAAAAAACCTTCAAACAAATATATAAACTTTTTTTACACTAGTCTAGTATATATTTTTTTACTATCGCCTAAAACTTTATAATCGATTATTTTAAAATTCATCAGGTAGGAGTTGTAGCTCGCCAAATTCTGCGCTCTTCGCCGCTTTTTAATTGTAATTGCTCATATTTGATTGGATCTTCAAAGTTTAAAATTGCTTGCACTGCTTGCTCTAAGGATTTTTTGCGCTTCTTGCGCGCAACTTTTTGCGCATGGTTATGTCGACACGATTCTAAGACAATTTTTTGCACACCATCGATAACATTGGTGACTACACGCGCATTACACTTTGTGCTCCCCTATGAGGATTATAAAAGAGAGAAAAAAACATGAGTTTAAAGCTAATGAGAATAAAGCGTTATTTGAATTATTCAGAGTATCGGCTCACCTTTTTGGCGCATATCCAATAAGTCTTCAAGCCGCTACGTCTATTTCGTACGTAATTATATCCCTTAAATACCAGCAATGTACAGCCGCGTTGTCCCATTGTAAACGAGAGCAAATTTTCACGCACATCCATGTCCTCTAGTTGCTCTGGAAAATATTAAAAAATTAGATTGTTCTGTTTTAAAAGGAGCCCGTTCTAAGAATTTAACTTTCGCGACTTTCGCGTTGCATAAATAAATAGAAATCTTATATGTATATAAAATTGATTTATCCGTTCACGCACGAAAGTTTAAGTGTTAATATATTTTTGAGAAGTACATATGTATAAAAAAATTTAATTTGTTTAAATAAAATAATTGAGTTATATTATAGTACGGGTACCTAAAGAATGTACATATTTTAGGTGGACACAGTCATTCATCATCAGTTTGCTGTTAAAGATCGGCTTGGTGATTATCGTGCGCAACATCAAGGAACCACGACTTTGAAATATAACCAGAATATGAGCGGAGAAGCTGCTGACCAATCGAAGGTAGTACCATTCTCTAGGGATAGCCCCCGTATTCTTGTAGTATCAAATATGTTGCTGTTTGAATCTAAACGCTTCCGAATTTTATCCATATGCATGCCCAACACTCTAAATGCTTTATAAATCGAAAATTTCTATGAATAAGTCGCTTTGAAAAGCTTTTTAAATCTACTTTATTTTTTATGAATAAGGCCAAAACGCTTAGTTTGGGTGGAACTCTGAAAGACTGCTTTTCGAATACAAGTTGTCAATAATGTTATTGTTGTCGTTGCTTCCTTCAGTAAGTACTAAATTTTAGGCAGTACAAAGTTCGCCTGGGTTTTCTTTTTTTTTGCGGGAAAATATTGCATTTTTTTTTTCTAACACTCTAGAAATTTTGTAGTTTATTTTTGTTTTTCACTATTAAAATTAATTTAAAATAAATTAGTAATGTTTCTCTAACTCCTATATGTACATACATATATACATATGTTGTAGTTATATACGCGATTTTTTTATATTCATTTATATACAATTGGATTTTCTATAGCAGCAAGCTTCCTAAAACGGCGGATGATTATGATGCTCGCATTTGACAATGACATCGTGCCGGCAGTCCTCGTCTATTGTCACAACTCGCGCTTTGCATTTGTGTATGCCGGCGCGTGCGCATGACCAATAGGTTTTCGCACCAGAGGATTTATTACGTGTAAAGCTGTAGTCGCCCACTTTCAGCTTACGGCTACCGCGAAATCCCGTTATGTAGGAGAAGTAATTATCTGTGCGGGCTGCAACGAGATGAAGCAAATGGAAGAAAAAAAATTGTAAACAATTAGTAATGAAGTACATCAGTGTGCATACAAAATTTTAATAAAATATACACATTTCTAATAAATTTTTGTTTTCCATAAACTGAAGCACTTAAAGCGCACTCACACGTTGTCTTGTTACACTTGCGCTGAAAAGAAATAAATAACTGCTAAAGCTCTTACAATTACATGTCTTCTTTTTTCTTGAAAATAATTTTATTGCTCGACATAGTTTTTATCATTGCCTTTGTTATTATTATTATATTATCATAAATTAATACGAATTTCTATTTATTAACACAAATGGAAAGAAAGTGAGAGATAACAGATCTGCATGGAATCTACCAACGATTCCCATTGATTCATACACTTCTCTTTACTGTGAAATGTTGGTGCCAGCTCTAACTTCAGTAATGGTATAGGCGCCTTTGCTATATGTAAGCGTATCGTCACCAGTGCTGGTAGTGTCTACCTTGACAGCTACGCCAGTATTATTTGTTGAGATGGCAGCTGCTGCAGCCGCAGCGGCCTTAAGCGATCCATATTTTCGTGCCTTTGTAATGACTTCATGATTATGCTCACTATTCAGCACAGTCAGTGTATTTCCCTTTGTCTTGATACGTGCACGGCAGCGTAAAACGGCAAATTGACTACAACGCCAATAGGTGACTTCTTCGCGGCTGACATGCCGATTGAAGGTGTGCTGCTTCAGTACCAATTGCTTTGTGCCATATTTGCTTACGACAAATATGGGACCCTGTACATCCAAGGCATGATTTGTTTGCAGTGGCTGTACCGGTGCATGTGCCTCGGATTCATGCAAGATGCTGGATTGTAAAAAGACTTCCTCTCCGTACAATTCTTTATCTGCAAGTGAAATGCATAGTTACAGATGGTTAGAGTAATGGCAAATATATTTAGTAAAAAGCAAGATGAAACACTGAACTGTGCGTCGAATTGTATCGACATAAGAAAATTATAGATATGTATGTATATAAATTAAACGGCAATTTAAGTTTAGATAAATTTCACCTTTAATTAAATGACTTTGCGCTTACTACTACAACTATGCTTTTATAGTACAAGTAAGTATATTTATGTTTTGTGTTTATAATTGAATGATGCAGTGATATCAACACGTTTTGGTTGAGTATTGTTCGCGACAGTCAAATGAGTGTCTGGATCCAATCAAAATTAGACCACCCTTGAGCTCATCAATGGTTATGTTGGCTGGACAATTAGGTGTGATGCAATACCATTGGCTGTTGTAGGCTCGTGAGCGCAACATTTTGTATTTTACGCCATTCAGGATGACATATCTAAATTTGTTTTGCGTGATAAAAGTAACTGAAAGGATATAAGAAAAGTTTATTGGTAAATACATACCTAAGTGTAAGGTATATACATTGAAATTTTAACAGATAATATGCAATGTTTTTATATATACAGCCTCTTAATTTCGTGAATTTATTTTACAAGCCGTAAAGATTGGCAAATTTGTGAGCACACAATATGCTGAGGTAATCAATAAAAAAAGTATAAATATGATATAGTTAGAAAGTCTATATTTTCCTCAATTTCATTAGCGCCTTTTTTCCAAAATATGTATATAATCTCATATATGATGCAAAACACAATCTCGTTTTAATAAGTTTAATACTATTTTGGTATTTAATGGCGTTTTCTTTTCAACAAAAAATGTTGCCTTCTCATTGATCTCTTCTCAGCATTTATGCACAAAGGGCACTGAGAAAGCAGCATTTTTCGGTAGAAAAGAAAACGCCATAAGTTAGCCATCAGTTTTAAATCGAGTGAAACTAGTTCTCCTTTTTGAAGATTTTAAAACTTATGCATCCATTATATTTATTTATTCTGCTCTCAGCATTTGTCTAATAATACTATCTAATGTATCTATGTACGTAAGTATGTATGCATATACTAAACTGTAAATGCCTGATGATCGAACGCATTTGCTTTACAACGTCAAGGAAAACTCTGCTCTGGTCAACGCATTTGGTGGCATCGTTTTCGGCGTAAATTTGGGCGGATGGTTGTGCGAGTGTTTGCCCAATTTTACCGAACCATCCCACTTAGTTATGCAACGTGCTGTACATTTGTTGTCCGACACACGCTTACCGTTGCCGCTTGAACAAATCCAATTTGTCGTCGCACGAAAACTGGCTTCTTTCTTGTACATATATCCATTGAAAATAAGATTATAGCCCTGTTTTTGATTGCGTACATAAAAGATCTCCAGATTTTCCAGCCACACACCTAATGGAAAGGGCATTGCATAGCTGTCATTAGTGAACAAGCTAGACGGGGCATTTGACGCCCAATGTTTCTGCAATGAACCGACAACATCTCTGACCTCCTGTGGTTGTGCTGCAATATAAATATAAAAATATATATTATTTTACTAGGTTAAAGGTGTGTCCAAGAACAATTGAATTAAATTTTTGTACGCATTGAAAAACAGTTACATTTATTTAGAAAAAAACATATTTTTATTTATCCGTAAGTTGAAGCTGTAAACAATTATCAACGTATTGGGTCTGTATATTCATATAAAGTCCTGCATCGACTCTTGCATCATCTTGTGTGACCGTATCGGTTTCATTCGGGAACGAATCTTCGCTAGGCGCATTGGATGCATTCGAATCGTCGTCTGTTTTGAAATGCGGTTGTCGTATAGATAACTTCACTTTCGAACTTAAATCGAGTCCATTGTGGCAAGTACTTTTCAGTTCGTTGCAAATTTGTCGTCCCCACTCGATTTTGTCCGTCTCTTTGCCATGTGTGTGCACACCGAAAACACGTACAGTATGTTTTGGTGAAAAAATTAGGCGCGCTCTGCAATGATATTTTGTGCAGCGCAAACAACGCCAATAACGACCGCGATTCTTACGATAGAGGTAATTGTGCAGCACTATTAATGGATGTCCACGCTGACTATAGATGAATTCCAGGGCATCAGCGGAATATTCGGGACAAGCATCTGAAACCAAATATTTTAAATAAGATATACGAAAACTACATGAAATTGTAAATAACTTAGAACTATGAATCTTAAAGGAATGTATGCCGTTTTAATTATTTTATCTGACATTTTTATTAAGAATTTAAAGATCTTTAAACAAACATGTATTTATGTACATATGTATGTATGTATGTATGTATGTAAGAAAATTATTATAATATTTAATCATAGAGCAAACGATTGACTGCCGCCAGATCTAGATGATATAGAGCTATATAGAGTAGATATTGTCGCTTTTAGTTACAGTTATAGACACTTCGTCGCGTTTTTTGGCTGTTCTGCTGCTTTCTCACTTCTGCTGCGCTGCATATCCTCCAAATGTTTATACCTAATTCGTAATATCATTCGATTCATTAACACGCTGCAATAGCTTCACGTCCAAGACTGTTGCCATATCATCAACGTCAGGTGTCATTGCCAAATTAATCGCCGGATAAAAAACATAATATATCATATCGAAAATTGTGGTCCCAACTTGAGGTAGAGATAGCGCTAAGAACTTATGTGAAAAAAATGGAGTCTCAACTGCTCCAAGAGAGCCAGTGCCCAGCGTACATAGGTATATACAAGGAAAATAGTAGCAATAATACCAAGTATGTAGCAAAACCTTGTATTTCCCGCGAAGCAGTCGGTGCTGGATTGGGCATTGTATTTTGGTATGTACATACGAACGTTTATATTTGAAGCGCGCGCGCGAAGGTTGACTGACCACAATCGAATGAAATCTAATTTCTGACAAAGTATGTTAAGAAAATAATTTTGACTGATAAACTTCAAACGGAAACTGTATTTGTTTGTTTATAATGACTATGGTGATTCTTATCACACTTTCACAAAAATGGAAATTACTAGTGCAGCATGAGCAATTTTAAATTGTTTCTCGAAAGCGATTCGCGCGGTTTAAGCTGCAGTTACACCATGCAATTCTTATTATTACCGAAAGTGATTTCAGCAGATCTCCAAAAGCCTTACGTTGCCACGTCTAACCACACTTTAACAATAAGTAAACATAGTACAATAGTGAACAATAGTAAACATATACCTTGTTTATACCTACGCAAGAACCACCCACATTAACAAAAAAAATGGATTTGACTCAACACATATTTCTTTAAAGAGTTTATACGTGTGTCTTTATAGAGCACTCGCCAAAACCGTATTTAAATGTAAACAAAATTTGTTGTTTTTATTCAATATTTCTTTAATAATTTATTTGCACGGTTCATCGAAATGGAAGGAAACAATAATTGAAATTTATTAATATAATCAGCCTTATCATGAGTTTCATTTTCCCCGAACCGATTCACTTTTCACTTTTGGTTTCCATGTATTTATTTTCGGGTGATTTTTTTTTCGGGTGAAACTCAAGATAAGGCAGAATAATTGTAATTTAAAACAGACTGTATAAAGAAACACAGCCTATTTCATTGCGAGTCAAATGAATACGTATTTATACGTGTTTTCTAACCGATTTGGTGAAATAAAAACCCGATTTAAAAACAAATTTGAGTCAACATGCTTTTGAATTTGTATGCCTCCGTTTTGAAACAAGGTTAGTTTTCACCTTAATTTAACGCAATTTAGAAGTTAAAATTTTGCAATAAATGTTTTTTTTATTTTGTATGGCATACACACTGTCTAAATTTCGGGTCCATTCTTAATTTCACATCGAAATCAATTTCTTTTCGCCTTAGAAAAATTGTCAGTTAAATCAATTTATTTTCACCGAAATTAAGAAACAATTATGTGCCATATTGATTAAGGCGCCACTGTTAAAAAAAGAATAACATTAGTGCCTAATAGGATGTTCAGACGAGGCGATTTTACAGGCAACTTTTAGTTGAAAGTAAGCCTGGTGTGAACGCTTTTTCCACTATCTTTTCCATTGAAGTTGGGGGCAGCCAGCTTTTAATTAACTAATCGCCTCTAAAATTGCCTGGAAAATCGCTCCATGTGAACACCGTTCAATTTATCACCCGTGACTATGGCAGACCCATAATATAAATATATCAAAATATGGACTTGAAATTACAACTTCAAACATTTTAATACCGAAAAAGAGTTGGCAAACGGGAACGAATTACCTTTTTCTATCCAGAAATGATTAACAGGTGCGGTTGAACGAAAAGATGCATCGCAATGTAAGCGAGCGGGCTTTGTCCCGTTATCTCAACAGCTGCTGTTGCCGAATGGATGCATGTTCGACTGCCGTGTTGTTGGTCACGGGTTCAAAACCTGTGGCACGAACTTTATGTTTTTTAATCGACTTCATAAAAAGGAGCAGGTTATCTATTCGTCTGATTTTTTTATGTATATTACCGCATAACTTTGGACCAGAGGTGTTAAAGAATGCAGTCATTTTTAACAAATTTATTCACTTGATTGAAGTCCCAAGTGATTGCAATAATTTTTTGTTAGTCCTGACTAAAACTAAATAAAAATTAGTCTTTATTCTTTTTTTTTTTTGATTCATGATTCCTAAATCATTTTTTTAGTCAAGAACCCCACGTTTTGTTTTCCGTTGGTTTTAAAAGTTTAATTAAATCAGATTAGAGAACTTCCTATTCCTCTTAAACGAAATCTATATTTCGATAACCTATTTTTTACTTTTTAGTTCACATTATAAAAAAAAGAATTTTTAGTTTTTTAAACTATAATTTAATTTCGCAAAATCCGCTAGCGTATTTAAAACAAATGAAGCTATTCTGAAAACTGTATTTTTTGAGTTTACATTTTATTTACAAGTATTTATTTATAAAAGGCAAGTTAAGGTAAAAATTTCGGAGCGAGGAGTAACCAATATGATACCTTTGAACTTGTTAAGTTTAACGTATGAACGAAAATTGATTGAATTCATAAATTTATTAATTTTACATATATTTGCATTTCTTACATAGTTATGTTATTTTTCAATCTGTTCTTTCAGTTTGATTTACATATTACGTACCTCATATTCCCATTTTTTAGTTATTTTAAATTACTGCATTTTTATTTTCTTGTTTATATTTAATTTCTATTTCAAACATCTTTAGTCGTTCATTTTGCTCCAGTTCTAGTTTCCTTAGCTCAAATTCATCTCTTTGTTTTTTATATTCCAACTCGAGTTTCTTTTCTTCAAACTCCTTCGACCACTCGAATTTTTGCTTCTCAAATTGAAGCTTCTCTATTCGAAACTTAATCCATTCAGCCTCCGTTTCGGCCGGATTGTTAACACAACAATTGTGTGCCGTGCATTTAACTTTGCCAGCAAAAGTGTTCGTTTCCGACGAAGTGGTCGGTTCATCGTAAAACAAAAAAGTCTTGTCTTCACAAGCGCTCATCTTAAAATTATTACTGTCACTACCATCCACTGGACTATAATTTAAAACTTCTAACTTTGGTGTGGCCATAAGCGGAAACTCGCTTGCCGTGGCCAACGGAAAAATATCGGAGAGTTGATCGTAATATGGGCATATTTGCAACATCTTATCTACAAATGAATGTAAGTTTACAAACCAGTCAATAACGCAAATATAAAAACCTATGTACAATTGCGAGCAACAAAAAATAAAATGCAAATTCAAAATGATGCTGCTGGTAACTTATGTTTACTTATTTATTGTTAATAATTTTCATTTAAAATTTGAGTCGATCTGACTTGAAACATTATTGTACAAAAATTCAATGGGCTACAAAACTGCATACTCAAAATCTTTCTAACAAATTTAATTTAAAAAATCGAAGTTTTGATGAAAATTTTTTTAAGTTTAATTAATTTTTGTGAACATGGTGCAAGCTTTGAAACCTTTATTTATGCGGTTTCTGCAGCATCATTTTGAATTTTACTGCTATTATTTTACTCGCAACTATACATAGTATGTATATCTCATATTAATTCCAGATTTATGTACCTTTGATAGTGTCACAGTCATCACCATCCTTTCCAGTGGCTGCGGATATTAACAAATCATTTGCTTTTTGAAGTATGACTCTAAGGTGGCGAATTTTACACTTCAATGTATTCCAGGTGGCATCAATGTTGGTATGTTCAATAAGTTTTTCGTAGTAAATCCTGGCAGTGGGTTTCTGTGTATAAATATTGATAAATAAAAATAAAATATTATAAGAGCCGTTTGCACCACGTCCAGTTAATTCTAACTACCAGTTAAACATCGCTATCGACGATATTGACACCTAGCCTTAACTGAAGGATATACCTTCAGTTAGCTGAAGAATGTACCTCCAGTTAGCTAAACTATACTATGAATATGAGCATACATTAAAGATTAGCGTTAACTAGCCATGGTGCAAACAGCCCTAATGCAATGCAAAAGACCCTATTTGATATTTTGAATTTTTATAGAGGCAAAAAAACTTTCTAAGTTAACTTTGAAAGAGCTGACTGTATTTGAAAGAAACAATAACATAATAATGCTCATTGACTAAAAGACTGTCACAGCTCAAACAAAAATTGATTTTTTTTTTCAGGGGACGCGTTTAAAGATTTCCATTTACTCATAAAATGCATAAAATAAATAAACATATGTATTCTCTTCTCCCGCGAAAATTACACAAGATTTCAGCACGAAATTTTTACAAAATATGAAGCACTATATAAAGAGTAATTCTGCTTCATTTACTCAAAAGTTTATTCTTTTTTTAAATGTAGCAGTCTTTTTGTAAATGAGCGATATGTAAAAAAGCGCAGTTTCATAAAAATTTTCCATAGGTACAATGTACATACGTACATATGTACGTGCATGCATTTGTACACCTGTGCACCATGCAGTGTGCATATACACATGTATGGTAGTGTAGGTATTTTCAGAAAATATAAAAAATCGAACCTCAATATTTCTGTGCATCTGCATGTATGTTAAAACCATCCTTGTTTCTTGATTCGTCCATTTCTTTGTTTCGTTCTCCCGTTTCCTTTTTCTTATTATTTTATTAGGCGCTAAAATGTAAGAAAAGTGCATGCATAAATAAATTTTTCGAGTCCGAAATAAAATTCTACATTCCACTTACCGTCGCTCATTTTAATTCTTTGGAGCACTCCAAATAAGCAGATACACAACTACACAGCCGGTAAACAAGCATGCATATGTATGTATGTAAGTACGCGTCGATTATTATTCCTCAGTTTGCTTATTCACGCTTTCATGGTTATCGGGTTACTTGGTTGGTTATTGTTGTTGTAATAGCACGCTATCTACATGCATACATGTATAGCTACAAATGTGATTATTTGTTTGGTTTCCAACAATCAAATACACTGAAGAATAACCTACAACGTTATACATACATTCATACTTGCATACAGCTTAGATAGTTACGTATTTATGTATATTCCTATGTTTATTGCTCTAACCACAACTGCGTAAAAATAAGCAGATAACTTTTATATAAAGGAGTGTTCACGGTGCTGATAGTAGTGGCTGATTTTCGCAACGACGCTTGGCAATACTATGAAGCAAAAACCTCAGGGATGTATTTTTATAATGATACCATGTGCTGCATGTGGCAACAAGGTCTGCTCAAAAGGCAAAATACCGTACGATATACGTTGCTTCATACAATTGGGTAATTCACACCAGCATGATTATCAAGTAATCTGCAGTAAAATTCTAACCATAGGCTACGCTTAAGTTTTGACGCTAAATTCTCTAAATTAAAAGCGGTGGGTCCTAAAAGTATGCAACATGGAGTAGTTGGGAATTAAACTAGACGTTGCGCGTGTGGTTAGGGGTGCCTGCTATTCTTTGGGAGATGTTTGGCTATCAAATTTTGCGATAGCAAATGTTTGAATCCGGCTGCTGGTTAATAATTATTATTCTCTAGTGTATATTGTTTTTGTAAACTGAGTTAAGAGTAAGATAACCATGGAGGTAGGAATGCCCCATATGACTGCAGTTGGTAGAACAAATCGAGTTTTGGAATAACAGCACAGTGCGATACAGCGAAACAGATACGCGATTGTACCGTATCGCTCTGTTTCAGTAGGACTCAAATAAGAATTTACCTGTTGATTTTTTTAATATTCAACATGTTTTTCAAGTTATCTACAAAATGTAATATTGTCTATAAATATATTGTATGTACATACATACATAAATAAAGGTTGCAAATTTTGTACAAAATTTAAAATAATTCAACAAATATTCATAAAATGTCCAAACTTTTTATGCTGATGGCCTTATTCATACAAAATAAAGTAGCTTTAAAAAACGTTTATAAACTGAAAAATGTATGAAAACGTCACTTTATAAAGCTCTTTAAACCTACTTTATTTTTTATGAATAAGGCCATTAATCTTTAGAACAGTTTTAGAGCTTTATAGCCCATACAATTTATAAATAATAAAGTGCCACTTTGAAGTAGCTAGGACCTCCTACCGTTGATTTTGGGTAATTTTTTTGTTGGCGCATTTTAGCCATACAAAGTGTGTTTGATAATTTATTTACATATATGGAAGAAAATTAGCATCACCTATAGCAGAAAAAGTAAATAAGTCTAAATTCGGGCGAAGAAGAGACTAAATACCCGGCACACGTATTATATATAGTTTTTTCACCTTTTTAAAAACTACCGCTACATGGTAAGCAGGGGTGGTTTTACCCCACGAACGAAAGACACAAGATCACGCGTGAAGGAAAGAAAGAAAGCGGTTATTTTCTAGCTGCCGAAATCTCGACGCCATCTTTGTTGTAAGAAGTAAACAGAATAATCATTTTTATTATGCAAATTTTGCTATAAATCATGCCGTTGTGTTAAATTATTCTTTATCTTATGTGTAAACACGTTGTCACAAGCGAAAATTAAGAAAATTGCAGTAAAAAGCCATCACCAAATTGTAAACAACGAAGAAATGTAAACAAACGGCTAATGTCAAAATCGTTAAACTTTTTTCCTAAATGCGATTCTAACGGGCTACTCTCCTGCCCGCGTGATCTTGTATTTTTAGTTCATGGTTTTACCCCCTTTTTCAAACATTTTCGATAATATGCTCAGTTATGCTTAATGCATTAATTGAACCGTGTTTGGTAGAAATCAACAAAGCGGCTTGTGTAGTCATAAGTGGGATGTGCCACGCCCATTTTACAAAAAGTCCGTTTGTTCAATGTCTGATTAGCACCAATCGGAGGTAGAAGCTCCGGTTAAATACGACAGCTTAAATCGATCACATATTATATGCATGATCAGGGCTGTCAACTATACTTAGCTAGGAAGTGCCATATTGAGGATAAAATAGTGCCAAAATGTTCCAAATAGAAAAATAAAAGTGCCAAAAAGGTGCGATTACATTTAGTTCTTCCTATTTAGCATTAAAATTAAAAAAATTTAGTTGAGAAAAAGAAGTACACGCAAAGGATTTCACCATGATTCAATAATACAAGGTTCGATAAACTGACAGTTGTCTCTCTCGCACCGCTCCCTTAGCAGTGGCACCGTGTTGCTTCTTTGCAAATTTACATGGAAACAGTGTAGCTTTGGTGTGAAATAAAAGTATACGATTTTGTGCAATATGTTTATTTGTATATGCATATGAAGCATATTTAACTGATGAAAAGATAAGCATTGGATATTTACATCAATCTCATAGTAGTCTTATTTTAATTTTGAGTCATTTTGCAGTTTTTATACAGCTAAATAGCATATAAATTACGTAATTCACGTAGATAAATCAATATTACATTCAACATTTCGTTTGAAATGCCAGATTTCCTGCAAATACATTAGAATTTACAAAAGGAATTTCACTACTAATTGCCTACTTTGCGCACTTTTCTACTACCATTTTCGCAACAAGGGATTGAATTCTTGCCCTTTCTCTGTCCTTCGTAAATGCAACCTTTTGTAAGGGAGTGTCAAACCGCAGCTGTCAATAATTATCTAACCTTGTATTATTGAATCATGGATTTCACTAAACTGCATTT